TTCCCAATAGATCATCTTTGTTGTAAGTTTGGAAAGAGGTGTGTGAGTATTACAAATTTTTATTCCTTTATTACTCTCCTGTAAACAGTAAGGAAGCGATGTACTCTTTAGTTTTAATTTCCAGATATCTGGCAATGCCATAACTATACTGCTCCACGCAAAATATTCCGAATCACACCACTTTCCTTTTGCATTAACAGATTCCCATTGAAAACCATYTTGAAAGTCCCAAACATCACTAATATCTACTATACTTTTCTTTGCTAATTTTCTGACATTAAAATAGCTTGAATCTAAATGTACATATTTGTTTAGCCAGATTGGTTGATGAAGAATTTCTTCAACAGTTTCAACCTTATATTCGCTAACTTGACTCCAACTGTCTAAGATTTCCCTATAGAATTCAGGAAAGTTATGGACTTTTACCCGAGATGAGTCAAAATTTTCTCTTAGGACTTGCAGTCCTCCAATGGATTCAAAATATTTTTCCGCAAAACACTTCCAGTATATGTTTTTTTWATCATGCAACAGTTTTAATACCCATCCTACACGGTTCGTTTTAATCATAGTTTCTAAATCGGGCAATCTAAGTCCTCCTTCAAGAAAATCTCCAATTAGAGTTGTGTATTTGATTTTTGGTTTCCTACCGTTCCAAATAAAGTTGGTTATTTCCTTATCTACACTAGCTATAAATGTGCGAGGTACAGCGATCTTTGAGGAAACGTATAACAGTTGTGAAATTGCTAGCGATCGGATTACTTGAACTTTTCCAAACAATGTGAGATTTCTCATTTTCCATATTGTCAAAACGGATTTAAATTTTCCAAACACCCTATCAAAGTTATTATTACGCATAAGCGCCTTATTATGCGAGAGAAATATATTCGGAGAATTCAACTCCACTAGCGTGAAAATCTATTTTTTTTGTAATTCTCGTTTCATTTAATTCTTTATTTCTAGCACCATCCCAGCCACCTTCAGACTTTTCATAGTTAAGTTGTAAGGACGAATAAGTTTGAAATAGTTCTAGACATTCTAAGACTTTTTCTAATGAACTTTTGTCTTTTAGACAGAACGTTGTATCGTCCGCAAACAAAACCAGCTTAGTCTCTTMCTCGTTTTCATCAATCCGTAGACCTTTTATATCTTCGTTATTACGAATTATCTGGGCCAGTATTTCAATTGTCAAAATAAACAAATATGGGGATATTGGATCTCCCTGTTTGGTTCCTCGTTATAGCTCAAAAAAATCGGAAACTTCTCCATTATTGATAATACAACTTTTAGAATTAGTAAGGAGTGTTTTGATCCATCTAACGAAACCATCTCCAAAGCCAAAAGATCGAAGAACAGCAAAGATAAAGTTATGCTCAACAGAATCAAAGGCTTTCTGAAAATCTGCCGCAAAGAGAATATATGGACAATCGTCATTTCCTTCTAAATAATCAAAAAGATCAGCTATAAATCTCAATGGATCATCAATATTTCTCCCTTTCACAAATGCTGCCTGGTTGGGATGTATTAATCTGTGCATTTAATCAGACATCCTATTGCATAAAACCTTACTACAAACTTTGGCATCAACATTTATCAGGCTAATTGGGCGCCAGTTTTCTACAAATCGTATATCTTTTTCAGAGCATACTTAGTTAACTATCGTAATTATGGCCCGAAAAGTCGAGCCGCGCGCGGATTTCAAACTCCAGTTTGACTCCCAAAATATTTTAACTAATTAAATATAAAATAGTTAGACATACCAAGGAATCGTTTTAAGGTATGAAGAAGTACTTTTGAGTATTTT